TTTTTTTTTTTTTTTTTTTTTTTTTAAAGACATTTAAAAGTCGTCAGAATCTGTTCAGTAAAATTTGTCATCACTTATACTTGTAGAACAACAGAATAGCTTGGGAACCCCCTTGGTAGCAGTGGACTGACAAGAAGTGTTCTTGCCCATGTCCAGATTTGTGTTCCCAGATTACTCCATCAGTAGGGTTGAACAGGCAGGACCCTGGCCAAGACCTTTATATCACAAAAAAATTCTTTGTCAGACAGATCCATACTCTTGTCTTTAAAAGGATTCAGGGTAAGAAAACTTCAGCCCAGGCGTAACCATTTGCAAACTGAGGTTTATTTTTTTCTATCTATGCACTTGAAATGAACACTGAAAGGGCAAAGCCATCCTAAGTCTATCAAGGCAATGAATTTCTCTGCTTCCTAAAGCTGAGATTATCATCTTATTCATTGTCACCTAGCTCCTGAGAGAGGTAATTCACTCGATTTTCCTGTATAAGCACAGCACAGGATTTTATTTCTGTTGTTGTTGGAATGGATAAAGCACATAGTCTGTTCTCTGTCTTGCCCCTTTAAGTTACTTACAGACATGGATGTAGCGAGCTTCAAAACTCACCAACTGCAGTAAGAAAGCTAAATCTGTGCTTACTTTTAGTTTCAAGCAATCTTGTTAGCAGCTCTTCTCAACAAAAGCAGGAAAAAATCCAGTTTTGCATTTCTATTCAAATTAAGGCAATGAAGACTGAAGACCACAAAACTGTTGCCATTCCTTTCCAGCACACAAAATTAACAATTTGTGCTGCTGCATGCAACTTTCAGTCAAAGTTTGTCTGATTTATAAGCAGGCAGATGGCTCACACGATAGTCCACAATAAATTACAACAGTTAGAAAGACAGCTACATTTTGAGAGTGACAGTGCAGCTGAGCTACAGATGGGTTTATAGATGACCCTTCCAATTGTTAATAATCTCCATAATCTATGTGCAAGTAAGGAAATGCAAAGATTTCTAATGCACCTTCCTGACTAAATACAAATCACTTTTATTTACACAGCCAATACTTCATGGTCCAGTTAACTTCTTAATTAAAGGCAGCAAGATGCTCATGTTCCATGCAAGCAGCATGGAAAATACTGTTTAGTGTGCAATATGTTCAGCTGGGAGTTTAAGATGCTCTGATCACTCCTGGAAAAGGGAATGCATCTATCTCATTTCTCTAAAACAAGCCTACAAGGGTGCAAGCACTGCTACCACCAGTCACTATTCATTAACCTCCAGATAAACTTTAGGCTCATGCAGTAAAAAGGTTATGTGTATTTGCAAGCTCTGATGCTTGGAAATAAGCTCCTAATCTAGGAGGCACTACAGAGTATTACTGAGTCAGGACTAGGGTGGGGAAACAAACTAGGAGCAGAGATCCTCATGGTATGAAGAGAGATGGATTTGGGAGGTGACTCTCGAATGGATGCGGGACAAGGAAAATGAGCCTCAAGGGTGTTGTTCCTGAGACTGAAGGCATGATGAATTTTTAATAACATTTTAAAAAATTCCACAACTATCATCCTCTGATTGACTGCAATTCTCTCATTTGCTTGCAAGAGGCTAGATTCACCCATAAAACAAGAAAGCAGAAGTCGATTGCAATCAATAGGACTGTCCCTGTTGCCCCCAGCCCAGCAGAAATTCCAGCATCACCGTGAGCAGCCTGAAAGCCAGCATAGGCTAGTCCAGTTTAAATACATTGAGATATCAGAGAAACTACACACACAGTTTATGCAAATATATAGTTAACACAGTTTCCAAGACTCATCTACTGAAGCCAGCAGGGATGCTCTAACTCAGTAGGCTTCCGGTCACACCTGGCTTGCAACTAGATTCTTCTCTGACTAACAGCAAAAAAAATATCCTGGAGGAGAGGTAATGCAAGGAACACACACAAAGGCCTTACTTTATATTTCTTGTACCTTGCATTCATTACACTGTCAATGGTGTGGAAACTAGTTTCATAACCTCAAGAAGGTGACACCTTTTGTCCCCACTGCCATATTAAAGTGTAGATCAATATAATAATATGTAAACAGTCAACTCCCCACTAGCAAGAAGTCGTTCTCAGTTCTCTTAGCAATCAAGTATTATTCCCAGCATTCTAACTAGAGAACAAGAAACGTAAGTAGCAATTTGTCAGTCTATTTATCAAACCAAGTGCTGCACCTTTTCCACACATTTTACATTACAAAGTGTATGACATGTAAGGTTCTGCAGTTCTTTTTTAATTCAGGGATGAAAACATTCATAGATACAAATGTTTTCTCATTAACTTTTCTTCCTAAATGATTATGCCTGTTTAAATCAATTCCTAGCCATTTTACTGAGGTTACAACCTTCAATATTTAAATCGGGCATTGTATTGAATGTTGTGTTGATTATGTACAAGTTCCACTTTCTACGAGATCACTGAAATACAGAGATAAAGGGATGTTAACTTTATTTAATTAGCTATCTGCCATTGTTATCACAATGGAAGATTGGTATCAAATTAACACTTTGGATCAGGAAACAAGATAGATGACATCTTCTGAGAAAGATTTTGGAAAGTCACTGTAATAAGTTCAGTTATCTCAAAGCTGCTCAAGACAAACAGGGTTGATTTAGAAAGAGCAAAAGTTACTGACAGTCATTGAAGAGCTGCTATAAACATGCTATTTCAATCACACTTGGCTTCTTTCTCTTTTTCAGTTTTAAACATCCTTGTCACTTTTGTCAAGTAGTCTCTTGTAGGAGCATTGAATTTTAACTGCACATAATTTTAAAAGACAGTATGAAATAGGATGGAGCACATAATAAGGGTTTATTGTGCCGGTAACAACAGACCAGGCCTTTGTGCCAAGGCATCACCTCTCTGCTCTCTGCAGAAAAGAAGTAACTAGTTAAATATGAGCTGGATTTCACAACTGCCTGCCATTCCTCTACCTCAGAAACATTAGGTGTCAAAGTCAAGGGCTTCTCATGATTTATCTCAAGAGGAGACAAAAAGACAACATGCAATCTCAGAGGTCCTGGGAGCCTTTAAACACAAACTAAACCCATGTGCATCAACATTGTAGCTGCCCAGAGGATACAGTACCCAAATGAGGTACCCAAACGATACCCACTGTCTCATTCCCCAAATTCCATTTGTATAGAGTGGTCAAAGTAATTTGACCACACCCCCCTGCCACTTCATAGTTTCTAACAGAGCAACAGAAACATTCTTATTCCTTTCCCAACAACTTACTGGTCTTGACCGGATTTCTTTGGCGTAGAGAGGTTTCAAGAATTCTGAATCTCCTTCAAGCTTTAGACCTTTTTCTGTGATTCTCAGGTTCCCCATTCCATCCTAGAACACAGACAAAAAGAAACAACCCCGTTAGTTACAATTACTAAATACACCAGGCTGCCAATAACTGATCTTTTTTTTTTTTTTTTTCTTCTTCTTCTTTCCCCACAGGGGACATGTAAAGCACTGGGAGGCACCAGAGAATGCAATTACTTGTGTTAGCTTTTTAGCTCTGTTTCTGTGAAAAAAAATTTCTATTCAGTGCACTCTGTAAGGCCTTCCTGTAAACCATTTACACAGATGAAAGATGATCACTTGAGCTAGTCATCTCTACTCAAAGAGATGCAGCAATGCTCTGTGTTAACAGGAAACTTATTCACTGTAATATTCATCGGCTGCTTGTATATTCATATACCTTCTCATTCATAGCAAATCCATATAAAGACTATGTGATTAATTCTACTGAACTCCATACAGAGAAGATGTGATTAATTCCACTGAACCAGCAAAAGAAGGTTTGGCTACATAGGAGTATTTCAATAAAATCTGGTGGGGAACTTGACCCCAATTATTTGGGGAACTCTGCAAAACATGGACTCTTTGGTGGGGTTTCTTTAGTGCTACTGGCCCTTACAGCAAAAGGATGTGGAAACCTACCGATTAGTTTCAAGTCTTAGTGTTTCCTCTGTTTCTGATATTGTTAAGATGCTACACAGCTTTGCTGGAATATACATTTATGCAAATATTTTCTCAGTGAGAAGCAACTACAGAACAGGAACACCTTTCCAACAGCCTGCCCTCCTGCCTCTGGCTACCTCCTGGCTTTTCTCTCCCAGTGATCAATTCAGGATTGGTGCCTTTGCTCTGCTCCTTGCACAGTCCCAGCACATCCCAGCAATCTGAACCTACATATCCAAATGTCTAGGTCTCCTGAGTCGTTCCTCTGCGCTTCAACCAACCATTTCCAAGTCCATTGGCCAGACATGAAGTGATTAATGTAACATGCATTTCTGTTCTCTCCTCAGTTGCATTCCTTAGCTGTAGCCATCAGACCTCACCCTCTCCCCAGCCCTGCACCAGGCTCCCCCAGATCCCTCTGCTCCTTGTGCTTCCACAGCAAAAAACTTTGACAAATGGTGTGAGGTGTTTGCTGCAGACCTCCAGCAGATGCCTGTAAATAGTCCATTTTCTTTAGAAATTGTTTAGTCATGTGTGGTCAAGATGTAATGAAACATCTGACAAACCATAATAGCAAACAAAATAGATGTCAAAATTTTATATAAGTTTTTCTTACAGTTTTTATCCACTAAGACAGGTATAGGGATGCATTGGCACAGAGCAGAATTGGACCAAACTACATTTCACCTTTAACTTGTGAAAGTCGTAACTTTTACTAAGATGAGGGATTTAGGTTTGCTGAAGCTATAGCTGCTTAGAAAAGTGTGTGTGTAAGAAATATTTTGTGGGGAGAGAACTGCAAAAGAAATGTAGAATCAAAACCATGTCAAATGCAAGGTATTATTTCTATGATTCAGGATGAGTGTCAAAGTCTGCAAGGATTGAGGTAAACTGGTGTTTTTTTTCCCTGAGAAAAAGCTAGTCTGAAGAATCTCTTCTAGCATAAATTTGACTAACATCACTAGGATTTGAAACTGGCACTAGCAAAAGCTGATTCTCCATATGTATAAATTGAGATTGGGAAAAGACCAAGACTTGGGTAGTCAAGAACAGGCACGACAATCCTCAAACATACCCCTCAAGGAATCTTCCCACTAGATTTCTTTTCTCCATTTCTCCAGGTTACAGAAGCAAGAAGGAGATACTATATGATGCCTCGGACCTCCAAGATAAGGCATGAACTGTAAAACCTACAACAGGTGGAGCTCATATGCAATGCTCACATTGCATTTCTGTCCACTTTCTCTTCCTCCAATTGCCTGTGCACCTCCTGCACCACAAGAGGAGTCACTGTCACTAAAGGTGTCTAGTAAACGAACCAGATCTGAAAGAACTCATGCCAAATAGCATGAATTTGGAGGGATAAAACTCAAAGACATAGCACAGCTCAGCAATGACACCAGTCACTTGCCAGAGGTTTTCCTATTCCAAGAAGTATCACTCTCAGAGCTGCCCTGTAAAGATTGTTCTTGCCAGAGCATGGTGTCTCATGAAGGAATGCAGGCTCAGGAGTGCTGGGCAATAAAATGACTGCTGTCATCTTGTTTTCAAATGAAAGCTGTAACTAAGCTTTAAATAGAGATATATACTGAAAATGCTACTGATGAAAGGAAGGGAATGAGAGATGGGTCATAAACTGCTACTTGCTCCACTCCTTGTCCCAGGTGTAAAATACTGGTTTATGAATTCTGGGTTGGTGGTGGCACAAAAGGGGTTCATTTATCTCAAGCAAAAGGATGAAGGAAAATGAGTGAAATATGATTATGCTCCAAAGAGCTCAGATTAAATTCTGATACTGGTTTGCTTTGCAATTTGAGAGAGAAGGAGTTATCACAGGTATCTGCAGACCCTCCCACATTTTGTGCTGCTAAAAAAAACCTTTACTTTTTTTTTTCTCCCCCCCAAAAAAAATAGGTATTTCAGTAAAGTTACAAGCCCCGAGGGCTTTCAGATTGCAGGTTCTTCTTTGGTTTCATTAAGAAAAACTGCAGGTTATGCAAGCTGGTACCTGCAGACACAGCTGCAAGAATGACCCCCTCTGTGGTTATACCAACCTGACCACTACTGGGGTTCGCTCCTGAGCTGAAGTGGGATGATACTTTAACAGTAACATGGACCAATGGATAAAGGGACTTGTTAAGTCAACACTGAAGTTATGGCAAGCCAGCAATTTCAATTTCACAACTATATTCCATCCTGAATAGCAATACAGATCCAGCATTCTGCTCTTCTCTTACGTGTTTCTCTTTCTTTCTCTCCTTCACTCTGCCTCACAAGTGGTTCCCACAGGTTTTTTTATATAAGAAAAACATATATATGGGATGCTTAGCTCACAGCTAGCAGGACCTATACATCCCAAAAGAGGTAGCAGGCCTATGGCACAATGTACTACAATCAAAACATCAAGAATACATTTGATTTATATCATATAAGCAAGTGTATTCTCTTACAAAAACCACTGGGTTGCAGAAAAAGAGGCACTTCCCCATGTTATGCTTCTCAATCTTTGATCTTTCTCATCCTCTGGTCCCCACTCATCTTTCTCTCCTCCTGCAGCTGCCAAACCTAATAAAAGCTGCACCCACCAGCCACTATCTCTTGACTTTCCTAGTGCTTGGGATCAGGATGCAGTTCTCAGCACTGTCTCTTACCATGACTATCTCTCTGCTGCTCATGTTTTTCATGATTAAAGACGACAGCTCTTCTAGTGACAGGCTGGTCAGCAGGTCAAAAAAAAAGCAAAGGTTGTAATCCAAGTTTAAAGCTAACAAGTATCACAGCCTCTTATAGTACAATCATTATTAAGTCATGTCCATTTATTATTTCATATTAGAAAAAAAAAAAATAAAAAAAATTGCAGAATTATATAGAGATCCCAAAACACAGATAACATTAGAGAGCAATAATTGGATGAAAGACTAACATCTTGTTTTGGGTAAAGCATCTTCATCCTCATTTAAATATGGTTTAGTAATAAATAAATACCATACTCTATTATAGCGAATATATGGAGAGTTCCTAAGAAATTTCATGGACCATGAGCTATAAAATATAGCAAAATGCTGGCCAGAGTGACAAAGACCATGCAATTTTATTAAACACTGTGTCTATGAGTATTATAATCCCCTATCTGCCTCTCTATTGTTTGTAAATATGGGTGAAAAAAATAACTACTGATTATTTGTTACACTGACATTTGATATGTTGATCCAATCCTTTTTTCTTCCCTTTCTATTAGTAGGCTCCTGAGCACAGAGTGAATGGTTTAAACATGCAGGCACAAGTGAGCTTTCTGGGAGGCTCCAGGAGGCAAGTCCCAAACAGGAGGCACAGGTCAGGGAACTTCCATTACCACCTGCTTTAAATTATTCAGCTTTTTGGTAGGGCATGGTAAAAACTTTCACATAAACTTTATCGTCTAGGCCACCTCTCTTTTTATGCAATGCCTTGTAATGTGCAGGCATAAAACTTTATGTGCTGTTGCTGACTGCTCTGTGTTGAAAGGGCAGAGCAATAGGAAAATCCTGAATAACATAAATTTCATTTAGCTGGTGCTGAATGAAAAAGGATTTTTTTTTTTCTTCTTCTTTTAATTAGCTTGAGAAGCAACTCAGTGTAACAACCAATTAGATGATGATGGTATGTTAGAGGAAGAGCCCAGCATTGCTGTTATGTGACCACCAAGGCACCTCTCTTCCTTGTGGTTAGCACCCTGGCTACACACATGGGTACAGCCTAGCTTTCTTTTTGTTTTGTTTTCCTTTTTAATTTTTTTTTTTTTTTTTTTTTAATTACATATCTGGCAGCAGGGAGATTCATCTAATAGAATAAGAAAAAACAGCCAACCTAACCAGAGACATTTAATTGCTGTGGTAAATACCTGACAGTGGTATTGGCCAGACCATCTGGATAGCTCATACCCAGGAACAGGGGTACTATTCAGTGGTGGCTGCCAGCCCTGGGCAGCTTTATCAGATCAGGCTGGGCTCCTGCCACAGCTTAACCTAGCTGATAACCAAGATAGTGGTAACACATATTTACTGTAGCCATTCATGCCAGGATGCTTTGCTCTTTACAAACAATAAATTCAGCCTCATGCTCCTCTGTGCTTCCTGAAGGTAAATTTGCAGTTTATTGAGGTTTTTCTAAGGAATTTAGGGGCACCAGGGATGGGGAACACAGACAGCTCCAGCTGTCCTCTGGCCATCATCGACACTTGTGTGTGTTTCCCCATGCTTCTTCCTGCACCTCCCAATCCCTTTTCAGTTTTCAGGACAAAAACTGTTGGAAAGGTTTGGCTCTGCATGGTGGGTAAGCATTTAATTTTTTTTTTTACTAGGAATAAACTGAAGTTATGTTTGGCAATGTCCTGTGGGAGAGAA